AACTGCCACCACGGGGGGCAGCTTCTACGGTTCCTGCAGGTCCAGCAAGAGCGGGAGCAATCATGTCCAACAATACCACCTTCACGGTGAATCCAAGGGAGAGGTCTAGATCGAGAGATCAGGAACCGAGAGATCCCAGCAGTTCGGTTCGCTTGAACAAGTTCACGGGACCGAATCCTCATGCCTTACCACTTCAGCCGGTGAATCGAAGGATGGAACTGATCACCAGGTTTGTGAGGCTTCAAGAGGATGAGTACGAACGATGGGAAGCGGACGTTCACAGTGGGCAAGAGGCGATTGACGCCTTTCGTGGACAGTGGAGAGAGATTTTGCCCGTGGATGACACCGTAGATGAGGTGGTGCCAATGTTGGTGTACAACAGCATGGAAGATTGGGAGACTGAGCCTGAGGTCTACATGGTCACGGAGGACGGATTCCGAAGGCATTTGGTCACCATCATGGATGTGCAGGAGTTTCCGGTGGTGGACCCCACGCCTGAGAACACGTTGGACTGGGAGGAGTTGGTGGTCGTCCAGGTGTACAACATGTTCCTTGGAAGGGTGGAGTATCTCCTGTACTGGGACCGAAGGGTGGTGGTGGAAGAGGCACCATTGCCAGCGTTGCCATGGATGGGACGTAGGGACCCTCCTGGACAAGATGATCGTGAACCTCGCTTGGCACCAATGAGGGTGGAAACTGCGAGGGAGAACAAGCTCATCGTCGACGACATGATGTTGTTCGAGGAGGTTGAGTTTGAGGAGCTGGGCGAGCCAGAGGAATCCTGGATGGAGCCTATGCTTAGGAAGGCTACCTCTGAGGGCCTTTACACCCCAGGGATTGAAGCGTTGCTGAACGACTTGAAGGAGGACGAGGTGCTTCAGGTTGTGCACACCGTTGACCCAAAGGAGGCGAGTGAGGCGATTGAAAAGTGGAAAAAGCCTATGGCCAAGGAGGTCGACTCGATGGTGGGCATGAACGCTATCCACAAGATTTGGGGTGAAGATGCGAGACGTTTCCGGGCCGATCCAAACTCAGTGGTGGTGCCGTCCAAACTCGTGTACACAGTGAAGCCTCCCACAAGGCCTGAGGAGGGGAAGTACCGACGTCGAGTGCGGGCGGTGGCATGTGGAAACTTCGCCAATGAGGGCCTGGAGGTGGGTGATCTTTATGCGGCAGGAGCTACAATCGATGGAGTTCGGATTGTGGTCGCTGAAGCCAGTGCCAACAAGTGGAGCATTGGAACGGATGACGTGAAGAACGCCTTCTTGGCTGCACCACTACCAGCGGGTCGCGGGTATGCAATGGAGCCTCCCCGGGCGGCGATCAGAGCTGGCCTGGCCGAGGAGGGGGAGCTGTGGGTCGTGGACGCTGCAGTCTATGGTTTCAAGAAATCGCCAAAGTGGTGGACGGACCATCGCAACTCAAAGGCAAGGCTTGCAAAGTGGAAGGACGATGATGGGAAGCCGGTGAAGTTGGAAGGCTGCTTGACGGACGTCAACCTCTACAAGGTCCTGAAAGAAGAGAAGCCTGGAACGTGGACTTTGACGGGCTTGGTGGTCTTCTATGTGGATGACGTCTTGGCGGCTGGGCCGGATTCCATCTTGCGAGGGTTCTTCGGATGGTTGGGCAGTCAATGGGAGACCAATGGCTGTGAGATGGTGGAGCGAGGAAAACCACCTGTCCGGTTTCTTGGCCTGGAGATTAGCATGCTGGACGATGGGACCTACTGTGTGGGTCAGCAGGGCTACCTTCAGGAGTTGGTCCGAAGCCGGGAAGTAAAGTCCTTCAGCAAGCTGCCAATGGCCAGAGAAATCCCAGAAGGGAGTGCTACGGAGGAGAAGGATCCGAGCATGGTGAAAGAGGCACAGCAGCGGTGTGGAGAGCTGTTGTGGGCTTCCCAACGTGGGCGGCCGGATTTGGCATTCCCAATGGCAGTGATGTCCTCGTTGGTCACGAGAAATGCAAGGGAGGCGGTGAAGATGGGCAAAAAGATGGTGGCCTATCTCAACAGCACCATCGACAAGAAGTTCTTCTTGCCGGGCCCGGACCACGAGCATGCCAACGACTTGGTCCTGTTTACAGATGCCAGCTTTGCACCCACTGCTGCTCAAAGTTACTCAGGGGCTGTTGTCTTTTGGAGGGGTCATCCGATCCTTTGGAAGGCTTCGAAGCAATCACTGACCGCTTTGTCGAGTGCCGAGGCGGAGGTGATCGCGGTGTCCGATGGGGTGGCTTTGCTTCGAGCGGTGAGGTCGGTGTTGGAAGACTTGGGACTGAAGCCAGCACGGACCGTGGTGAAGGTGGATTCCACAGCTGCGATTGGAGTTCTGACTGGGGACGAGACACCTCAAACTCCGACATCACTGGATCCGGGAGATGATCGCCACGGGCCAGATCGAGTTGGAGCACCAGCCAGGACAGGGACAGCTCGCAGATGTTTTGACAAAACAAGTGCCCCAGGCGAGGCTTCAGGAGGTCTTCGACGAGTGGAGTTTGCGAGATGGGCCCCCTGAGCTTCGTGTACTACGTGGACAGAAGCAGGTCAAGTTCGAAACCACGGCAGTCGACAGCAGTCTTGAAGCAACAGCAGTCAACAGCAGTCGTGAACCCGCAGCAGCAGCAGTCAACAGTAGCAACAGCAGGACGCTAGAAGCAGGGGTGAAGTTCCAGGCTGATTGGGCGTTGAAGTTAGCTACGATGTGCTCTATGGTGTGTGGGGTTAAGGGTGACGCGACGACTTCTGTGCAGCTGAAAGAAGCTCTGGCTTCAGACTGGGAGATGTGGCTGGTGGTCTTGATACTGGTTACAGCTGTGGTGGCTGTGTGGGAATGCTTGAAGGGCTCTACAAAGAAGGTTGTGAGCTTGAAGGCGATGAAATCGGGAGAAAAGGCCGAACACCGTGAAGTGTTGGCGTTGCTGGCCAAAGCGAGGAGCCTGGAGGAAGAAAAGAGGCTTCGTCATTTGGCTGCGAAGTATTTTCCAGAGCGTCGTGAAGCTGGACCCTCTACATCAGTGCAGGTGAGAGATGGGGTGACCTCAGTGCGTGTGGGTGGTTTGGGCGAACCTGGGGGAGTTGGACCGAGGGCAAGCAGTGCTCCGGCCAATCGAGTGGTTGCCGTGGATCCTACAGCTCTATTTCCTGAACGTCCTGTACGAAGAGACATTGGGGTTCAGACGCATGAGATGCTACCGGCTTCGACGTCGACAGTGGTGCAGGTTCCGTTCGATGGGGTCTTGTACCATGGTCCTGGAGGAGATTGCTACCACTGGCATCGTGGATGTTGGGGTCTTCGCAATGTGGACCAGGTGTCGCAGAGGACGCTGTGCAGATGCTGTCGAGAAGCTGGTGGACAGTCGCTATATGGGCATGGTGGGCAACAGCGAAGCTTGAGACCTACCAGAACGGGCTGAATGGGCTTGCGAGAAGAGCGAGCTTGTTGGGCCGTGGCGTGGAAGTTGGACGTTGGCCGTGTGAGAAGGGAGGCCACAGGTTCGACAGAAGATGGTGTATAGGGCCATTGGCCAGTCTTGAGGACCCACCGCTTGGAGAGCATGGGTACCTATGGCAGTCAGTTGGATTGCCAAAACGCCTTGTGAGCCTACCTTGACAGGTGGCTCAAGGAGGGGTGATGAAAGGTGTGGAATGAGATGCACCTGTTGCTTTGGCTTTGTTGGTTCCAGGACATGCCGTAGGCATCGGAACACAAGAAGCAGTTGCAGCACAGACATGCAGGCAACAGGTCGCATGTTCTGTTGTGTGTGTTGTTCTGGTCGCGTGTTGTGTGGTCGCCTTCTGTGGTAGAGGTAGGACCGCCTGACTGGCCGATGGACTTCGGTGCTGCAGTGTGAGGAAAAGGGAGCCTCTGGTGGTGAAGCTGTGTTCGTACAAGGAGTACAAGCCGAGCCAGAGCCAAGCCAAGCTGCCATGTCGTTTGCTGGACCTCAAGAGCCCCGCGCTCTTGACCCTAAACCCTAAACCCTAAACCCTAAACCCTAAACCCTAAACCCTGCCAGAGCAGGAGCCGACGATGCCCTGCCCCAACGTCGTGCAAACTGATTCAAGGGTTTAGGGTTTAGGGTTTAGGGGTTGCAGAGCAACCTATGAATCAAAAGAGCGCCTCTCGCTTTTGCTCTCTGACCCCCCTTGGCCCTAAACCCTCATTTGGGAGTTTCAGGGTTACGGATGTCGTTTGCTACATTGCTACATTTTTCTGCTCCATGCCTCTACTCAGCAGGCAAGCCACCCTGCTTCAATCTGCTCCACCGAGGGCTTCAAGGAGTTTGTAGGGTTTAGGGTTTAGGGTCTAGGGAGGGTTTAGGGCTCCGTGTGCCCAAGAGCCCAAACTGAAGGGTATAGGGTCTAGGGTTTAAGCCAGAGACAAATAAGACAGCATCTTGATGTTTTTTTGGGGGCGTTACGTCAGGGAAGGACCTGCCTAGGACGACCTTAAGGAAAGGCCACATAAAGCCCCCAAATCACCTCTCCCCAAACCCTAAACCCTAAACCCTAAACCCTAAACCCTAAACCCTAAACCCTAAACCCTAAACCCTAAACCCCACGCCCCTTTTCATGCTGAGGGCAGTGCCGGCATGATTGAGATCAGACAGAAGCAGGCGGCGGATATGACACCATGAAGCCCGTGAAGCCCGAGAGGTTTAGGGTTTAGGGTTTAGGGTTTAGGGTTTAGGGTTTTGAAGGGTTCTTGCTGCAACTTAGGGGTTCAGAGTTTCGGATTTTAGGCCCCGAACTTTGGTAGCCCAGTCACCATATTCTAATAAGGGCACCCCTTTTTTGGGTTGGTCATTTTAGAGGGAACCCAGAACCCCTAAACCCCAAACCCCAAACCCTAAACCCGAAACCCCAAACCCTAAACCCTGAACCCTGAACCCTGAACCCTAAACCCTAAACTCCCTAAACCCTAAACCCTAACCACCCCCCCCCCCCCCCCCCCCCAAAAAAAAAATAAAAAATATATATAAGTTTAAACTGAGACCCCGGCGCCACCTGTGAGCTGCCCTGTAGCCTCTGCTCCTGATCTCGTTCAACCTCCGCATCCGTTTTGGACGAAGCCCGAAACCCTAGACCCTAGACCCTAAACCCTAAAACCCTTGCTTAAGGACCCCCATGGTCCCTAGATTTTAGGGTTTAGGATTTAGGGTTTCGACTCTCACGCTGGCGAAATGCGGGCAAGGACTCTGGTGTTTAAGGTACCTACGTGGTCCCTTAAACCCTCAACCCTCAACCCTAAACCCGGTCCCTTAACATGGCCCGTTACCTTCATAAAAAATGTTCGAAGTATGGGCCCTAGGGGTATATTATGTAGGGCGTGTACTACTAGTTGCTTAAGAACACCGGAATAATGGTGTTCATATTGCCCTGATGAGGAAGATGTTTTTCTGTGGGTGTTTCTTAAGCAAGTGGTAGTTTGTGGCGCCGACCGACCGCAAGAACCTTACTAAGCGGGGAATTAGGGTGTTGCGTTTTGTGTTTGGGGTTTAGGGTTTAGGGTTGAGGGTTTAGGGTCTAGGGTTGGGGGGGGGGGGGGGTGATGACTTTAGGCTGTTTGGTTGTTCTGTGCGGGCTACCTATACCAGGTTGCTTTTTTAACAAAGATGTGCTACAGGCTGGTTAGGGTTTAGGGTTTAGGGTTTAGGGTTTAGGGTTTAGGGTTTAGGGTTTAGGGTTTAGGGTTTAGGGTTTAGGGTTTAGGGTTTAGGGTTTAGGGTTTAGGGTTTAGGGTTTAGGGTTTAGGGTTTAGGTTCTTATGACAAAGCCTGTAAGAACTGATTCAAGTGGTAACGCAGAGCCATGGGGTTACACGGAAAAGCGCTGCAAGGTAGAAAGCCTAGACATAACCAGTGTATGTCCAAACCCTAACCCCTAAACCCTACGCCCTAGACCCTCTACCCTGAATCCTAATCCCCCCCCCCCCCCCCCGCACACACACAACACCCTGGCCTGCTGTTTCAGCCGGTACAGACGGAACTTCTTTTGAACAGAGTCCTTCACTTTCGTTTCGGGTTTGGGATTTTGTGGGCTATGCTTCCTCTCATTGAGTTTAGGCTTGACAGTCGGAAGCAGGATCTCAAGCTTTTTACCTAAACAATCCTAAACACAAAGCCTCTAAACCCTAAACTTGGGATGTTCCCTCTTATACTAACAGTCCCTATAGGGACTAGAGTGCCGTTTAGGGTTTAGGGTTTAGGGTTTAGGGTTTAGGGTTTGGGGTTTAGGGTTTTGGGCCGTATGATATTCCCTTTTTTGGACTTTTCGTATAAGGGGGGGGATACGTGACATTCATGTCGGTGAACTTGAGGAATCTTGACGATGCGGGCATCGGAGCTGCAGACACTGTAGCCCTCAAGCTTGCTTGCAGCGCAGTGACTTTTTCATCTTCGGTTTCCTTGTTCGCCACAATAGCTCGGATTCGCCACATCTTGCGCAGCTGCTGCTTCTCCGGCTCCGTGACTGTCGTCCGCAGGGAGCTGTCTACGCTGGCAGCTTGCATATTCAAGGCCTGCGCCACGAGCATGGCGACGGCCTCTTCGGCTGCTGCAGCGGTGGAAAGAACCGGCGGCAGGAAACTTTGGCTACGGGTTTGGAGTTTAGGGTTTAGGGTGCAACTCCGACGCCGCCAAGATGTCCGTAGCCCACAAACCTCTAGAAGCCTTCTGCCCCCAATATCATGGGCTCCCCTACTACCCCCCCCCCCCCCCCTAGGTTCCCCCCCATTATTAACCCGAAACCCTAAACCCTAGACCCTAAACCCAAAACCCATGATAACAGCCCATCCCAGCTGCGCTCACCTAGGCTGGCCTTTGAAGCCTTTCATGCGACTACATATGCCGAAGGCTTACCTCGTCACACCCCAAAGACTACCATTTGCTTAAGAACCTCCACCTCTAAACCCTAAACCCCAAACCCTAAACCACCCCCCCCCCCTAACCCCCCCACCCCCCCCCAAAAAAAAAAAAAGAAGAAGAAGAATGATCCCTACACTGCCCAAACGAGAAAGAGTCTCTTTGCTTGGGTGGTTCTTAAACGAGTAGGAAAACTTCTTCAGCTTCTTCTGGATGGTTTCGGCAGGCTGTCGGAAGAAAACCCTACACCCAAAACCCCTGACTCTCAAAAATCAAAACCTTACCGGAGTGGAATGGTTCTTAAACCCTAAACCCTAAAGCCTGAGTGCGCCGGACTCAAAGGTGGCGGCTCTGGTCTCTCTCGAAAGAATTATCCAGGGAACATAAGGGCATACTACTATTGGCAATCATTTTACACACAGCCGACTGACATGCACAACACGTTCACAAACCCTGCTTGGACTTGCCCTCAGGCACGGCAGCGTCCGGAATTGATTCGTTGAGGGACCCTGGCGTAGGGTTTAGGGTTTAGGGTCGCCCTGACACCCCTCCCAGCTCCTGGAAAAGCTGTAGGAATCTTGGGTTGGTGCCGCTTGGCGCGCTGCCTGAAGAAACCGTGCGGTTCCGCTTCGGGCTTCAAGCTAAGCCCCGGTTTTGTTGAAGCATGACTGAAGCTAAGCCCCTCGTTGAAGCGTGGACGACCGAGGGTTTAGGGTTTAGGCCTATCAAGCCTAAAACTTCCCCTAAACCCTAAACCCTAAACCCTAAACCCTAAACCCTAAACCCTAAACCCTAAACCCTGCAACTTCAGCCGCTACTACTCGGACTCAGCCAAAAGCCCAGGCGCCGCAGGCTTTAGGGTTCAGGGCTTCGGCTCCCAAGCCCCTTCAAACTCAATAAGATTTAGGGTTTAGGGTTTAGGGTTTAGGGTTTAGGGTTTAGGGTTTAGGGTTTAGGGCTAGGGTTTCGACATGCTTCACTTCTCGATGGGTTTAGTATTTCGGGGTCAGAGAAACCCCAAAACCTGTGAACGACACCCTGAAAGTTCAAGAAGTAAGCACATCCCTGAACACCCTTAGCCTTAAACCCGAAGCCCTCAAGCCTTAAAAACCCACAAACCCTAATTGACTCCTAAACCAGTTTCTGAACCTGGAAAATGCAAACCCTAAACCCTAAACCCTAAACCCGAAACCCTAAACCCTAAACACTAAACCCTAAACCCCTTTCCCTAACCATAAACCCCAAACCCCTTTCCCTAACCCTAAACCCTAAACCCCAAACCCTCAACCCTAAACCCTTCCTAAGTACTGGGTTTAGGGGTCCACATCCCACCGCAGTTCCTTGGCGTGGCGTGCGGTTGCCGTCCCGTGGGGTGCCGTTGATGAGCAGCCGAGGCGTGCCTGCGTCCGTGCACCCTAAGAGCTTTAGGGTTTAGGGTTTCGGGTTTAGGATTTGGAGTTTAGTTGGGGTTCAGGGTGCCCAGCATGAACACGTCAATTTTTGTCGGGGACCAAATGAGCACTAACAGGGTTTAGGGTTTGGTTTCGGGTTTAGGACCAAATGAACCCCTAAAAGGGTTGATGGTGCGCATAATACCTAGTAAGTAGGATCACAGGCGCATAGGGCATATGACCCCAATCTTTTAGGGTTCATGTGGCCCCCAAAGTTATTATGCGAGGGTCTGCGACGTGCGCAGTCGTGCGGATCCCGATGCTCGCCCAAAGCTGGCAAACCGATATCCCATACTGGTGCTAGGGGGACGTTGATTAACTCAATACTTCTCTTTGATGCTTGACAGCTTACCAGGAAGACCTGTAAACAGATTGATCATCACGTTGTTGAAGTACATTCGCCCTTACGAGACTATGACCATCTTATTACAGACCTTAACTTCAACTTTAGTGTTTAACTTGGTCTTCATCCTCAGCATGTTCAATTAAAGGTTTTCAGTTCATCACTATTTTTTGAGCTATGAATAGCCACTCTTCTAGCCATAAACCAAAGTAATTCATCAAGAAATGAAAGCTGTTGCTGTCAACAGTTTCCTCTTTGCGCCCGAACTGCGGCAGGACACAGGAGTTGGGACAAACTACAGAAAAGTTCTGCCAAAGTCTAGGCAGGAAGGAGCCATTTTTTCGCTGCTGTGGCAGGTTTGAAACATCACGTGCCTGCAGTATCCTCGCCCTGGGCGGGCGGGCTACTCCGCATGTACGTCCACCGAGACTAAACAGAGTCGTGTATCTTTGGCACAGCCCCTGCCAAACTCAACGCCAACTGCGAGCTTCACGACGCTTGTGCAGGCAAGTCGTCAAGGAAGAGGTCCAGCCACGCGAAAAGAGGCTCATCGATGCCAACTGGAATCTTGTTAGAGACTACGAAAAAAGGCCAGCCTTTCTGCTTTGCAAGCTGTTCGGCCTCCTCTGCAGTCACCTCAGGCTCCGCAATGTCTGCATGCGTGGCCACCATACAGACACGTCGGCAACACTCGAAGTGACCCTTCTCTGCATCTTCGAACGTCCCCAAGACCTCCTTCAGGGTCTGCCGATTGCGAAGCGAGAAGAACAACATCAATCCTGTCGGTCCCGTGACCCACGCATTTGTCACCTAGGATTGCCCTTAAAGCCTCCTGAAACGTATTCTTGAATCTGATCCTCTCAAAGCCAATAAAGGAAAATATGAAATATGCAAAACAGGCCTTCCGAGTCACCCTCAGACGTGGCTGTCCGGCCGTGTCCCAGAGTTGTACCTTGAGCTTGGAACCGTCCGCTGACTGCCAGCGCAAAATCTTGAAATCCACGCCAATTGTAGGAATGTAGTCCTCCTCGAAGCATTCACCACAGCACGCCCGCATCCAAGAAGTCTTTCCAGCGCCCGCGCCGCCTATGAGGAGACACTTCGCCAAGTGAGTCTCGGCGTCACCTCCTTCGTCAGACCAGGGAGTGTAGGTGCCAGTAGGCTTTCGGACAAGGTACAAGGAAGACTCCTCAGTAAGGTTCAGTTCTGACAGCTTCCTGCTCTGCGGGACCACTTGGGTGCCGTGCAGCAGCGTGAGTCTGCCGGGTCTTCCATCAGAAAGGGTCTGCAGCACAGACCTAACCGTTCGGCTTCCGGGCAGCTGTTGCTCCAGAGCCACCTCGCCAGCCGGAGTCAGGATCCGCACAGGGAGCATCTGATTCTCGGCATCCGCCGACTCCGTCTGTTCCGCCCGGGCATACGCAGGCGTGGCCACATCTGTCGAAGGCCTACCATGCCCCAACCCCATGATTCCTCACACCAAAGAGATGGGGACTCTGAGACAACGAATGCCAAAGAGAGAGAGAGAGAGATAGAGAATGAAGAAACAAAAGAGAGACAGAGACAGAAAGAGACAGAGACACAGAAAGAAATGGACAGATGATGGATGTGATCGATTTTGAGAGCTGACGATTCAGCTACCGGCGCCTAGCTAACAGGCTACCAGTCGGCAACGCAGCCAACGCTGGGCCAAAAGACAGACGACCAAATCCTAAGCCCCAAACCCCAAACCCTAAACCCGAAGATGCCCTAAACCCTAAACCCTAAACCCTTTTGGGCAACGGACTCTGAGGCTGCCGAAAAAATGCAACTTCTCAGAAGTCACATCACGCAATTCTAACCCTGAACCTTGAATCGACCGGCCACACGACCCCTTGCAGCCTTTCATGCTAAAGAGTTTAGAGTGCGTTATTGAGTGTGCAAAGAGCCCAGAAATCCCCTTAAAAGAAGGCATATACCTTAAACCTTAACCTTATTGGGGTCCATTGTTTATTAGTTTTTTTTTAGGGGTCCCCGATTTTCGTAAACCCCTCCCCGTAGTAGGGATTCCTCTATCAAGGCACGAAACGAGGGACCCTCGAAAGGACCAAGGGTTCTTTGGGGGGTATTTAAGGCCTACTTAGGTATATAGGGACTATGTATAGGGGTTACAGAGAGGAATAAGATTAAGCATCCCTTCTAGGGGTCCCTCGTTGTACCCCTTAATCTACAGAAGTGAAGGGCCCCTCAAGGGGTCTAAAGGGCTTCCTGGGAGCGTACAATTAGGGTCTAAGACTGCACTAAGACCTCGGAGTTGGGGCTTAGGGTTTGGGGTTTAGGGTTTAGGGTTTGGGGTTTAGGGTTTAGGGGTTTAGGGGTTTAGGGGCTTCCCGAAACGCATCGGCATGTCAGCGCTCAAATTCGAATCCCAGTGCCCAGATTGGCCTGGCATTTCTCACAACGGACTGGTTCTTTGTCGGGAATGGGGGAATTTAGGTGCCTATATCCCCCCCCCTGTATACTCACAAAGGGATTGTATGGAGTGCCAACTTCCCACCCCAAAACCCTAAACCCTAACCATTTTCCATCCAGGTCTCTAAACCCTAAACCCTCGCTCTCTCACAGGCGCTCAGCCTAAACCCTCTCTCTCTCTCTCTCGCAGACTCGGGAATCCGTCAGCTGCCGTCTGCAGATAGGCAATGCTCTCTGAGCAAGGCCCCACCACCCATGTTAGGCGGTGCAATCCAACTATAGACCATAAATAGTGTTAACCCACGACTCAGGAACAATCTCCAACAAGATGACAGGAACCAACTCACGACAGCCTAAACCCTAAACCCTAAATCCTAAACCCTAGAACCCCATACCCTACAAAGAACCGGGGGGGGGGGGGGGTCTCACAACTGCCAGTGCACAGCGTGGACCGGGATAGGTGCCCTAGATCGTTTCCGACTTGCGAACTTGAGGTTTGGACTTGGTCATCTGTTGGGATGTTCCCCCTTTTACAAACAGTCCTTAATAGGCATGAGAGTATCCACGATTATAATAAGGGGGAACATCCCAAGTCATCTGCATAAGCTCAGGATGTCTGCGCAGCCAAGTCGTTAAGAAACAGATCCAGCCACGCGAAGAGAGGCTCATCAACGCCGACTTGGATTTTGTTTGAGACCGCAAAAAAGGGCCAGCCTTTCTGCCTTGCAAGCTGCGCGGCTTCCTCTTCAGTCACCTCTGGATCCGCAATGTCTGCATGCGTGGCCACCATGCAGACGCGCCGGCAACACTCGAAGTGACCCCTGTCTACATCTTCGAACATCCGCAACGCCTCCTTGAAGGTCTCCCGATTGTGGAGCGAGAAGACCAACATCAATCCTGCCATTCCCCTGAAAAATCGGTCTGTCCTGAAAAGTTCTTGCCCGGCAGGGTCCCAGAGCAGTATCTTGAGCTTGGGTCCATCCTCTGACTGTAAATGCAAGATCTTGAAATCCACAAGAACTGTAGGAACGTAGCCCTCCTCGAAGCATTCACCACAGCACGCCCGCATCCAAGAAGTCTTTCCAGCGCCCGCGCCGCCTATGACGAGACACTTCGCCAAGTGATCCGCGTCACGCCCGTCATCAGACCAGGGAGTGTAGGTACCGGTAGGCTTTCGGACAAGGTACAAGGAAGACTTCTCAGTAAGGTTCAGTTCTGACAGCTTCCTGCTCGGCGGGACCACTTGGGTGCCGTGCAGCAGCGTGAGTCTGCCGGGTCTTCCATCAGAAAGGGTCTGCAGGACAGACCTAACCGTTCGGCTTCCGGGCAGCTGCTGCTCGAGAGCCACCTCGCCAGCCGGGGTCAGGATCCGCACTGGGAGCATCTGATTCTCGGCATCCGCCGACTCCGTTTGTTCCGCCCGGGCATACGCAGGCGTGGCCACATCTGTCGAAGGCCTACCATGCCCCAACCCCATGATTCCTCGCACCAAAGAGACGGGACTTTGAGAGAACGAATGCGAAAGAGAGAGAGAGAGAGAGAGAGAATGAACGAAAGTGAGACAGAGAGAGAAAGAGGCAGAGAAACAGAAAGAACGGACAAATGATCGACAAAGATGGATGTGATCGACTTTGAGAGCTGACGATTCAAATAGAAACCCTAAACCCATTCTTGGGCAACGCACTTCGAGGCTGCCACCTGTTCAGACGTCACATCACGCAATCCTAAACCCTAAGCCTTGAATCGACCGGCCGCACGACCCCTTGCGGCCTTTGATGCTAAAGGGTTTAGGCTGCATTGCGAAAGTGTGCAAAGAGCCCAGAAATCCACTTAAAGAATGCACATACCTTAAACCATGTGGGGGGTCACGAGATTAGGGGTACCTGATTGGGGTTCTTTGTTCACTAGGGAATCCTACTATGTAGGGGTTTACTTTAGGGGTCCCACATTCCACATTTTCGTAACCCCCCCCCCCCCCCCTAGAAAGGATTCCTGTATCAAGGAACGAAAGGAGGGACCCTTATACAGGACCAAGGGTTCTTTGCGGGGTATTTAGGGGCCACTTAAGGTACACCGGGACTGTTTATGTAGGGTTCTATAGGGGAATAAGATTGAGGGTCCCTTCCAGGGGTCCCTCCTTATGCCTTCAACCCTA